GCGGGCGGCCAGCATGCTGGCCATGCCCGCCCCGCCGGCGTGCCTTGGCCCCCTGAAGACGTGCTGGCCATGTTCGCCGGCGCCGAGGTCGTGCACAGGTACTACAGGCCTGACCTTGTAAGTGCTCGGGCGGTTCCCGTCGCTGGTTGCGTTACGGAGGCGGGTAGGGTGGCTGCGGGACGGAGGGTCGCCTGTGGCGGTTGTGCGTTAGAAAGGTCTCCGGCCTGGCTGCAGAAGACGATCAGCCTCTGAAGAAGCGGCGACCGGGTAGCCGGGTCTTCTCTCGGGAGCCGCCTTCGAACTGTCGGCGTGGTAGCGAGAACAAGCAAGCTACGCGAACTTCTTCAGGAGGGGCTCCTGCTGTGGGGAGTTGGTTTTTGAAAAGGGCGTGCAAAAGTGGCGAGAAGGGGCTATGCTAGATTTAAATAGACTTTTTTTACTCCAGTAGTGGAAGTGAAGATGACCGAAAGTTTATGTTAGAAACGATGACAGGCTGGGAGTCAAGACTATCAAAATTACAGTCGCAGGGAGCTAAGCTCCGAATGAGACCATCCACCAGGGGTATTAATGGCCGGTTTGGTCTCGTGGAGGCCTTCTGACTTGTAAGCCTTATTTCATCCTCCTGCTCTTGTACACACTTTGTTTTTTTTTAAAACACTGTGCTGTTTTCAAATCAGAAATAGGTTAAAAAAATCACCGTGCTTGAGCTGTCATGTCAAAATTTAAGCAATGAGGCTTAAATCATTGATAGATACATAAGAATTTATGTATTTTAATAGTCTCTACTGTAGCCTTCGTTACAGGCAAATAGGCATATTTATTCAGAATGATCTAATGATCTGCGCCTCTTCAAACTAGCACGAATTTCGAGGAGGTACGGTTCTTGAAATGTTATGTCATCTGGTATCTTTCCCTTTTTTAAATTTCAACTCCAGTTTCAGCGCTTCATTTCTAAAGTGGAAAGGTAGAAGCCGTGAAACTCTTTCTTCTGTCGCCAAGAGAGAGAATACGTGTGGAAACCTCAGCTGTACTAGACATCTCAACCAAACTTACATTCTTAAATGGCAAAAAGAACCTTTGTTCCTTTAAAACAAACCGTCCATTCTTCCTTTTTCCTCCTTTTTTCCAAATCGTATTTTGCTACTTTAAAATAAAAGTCAAATTACAAAAAGGTAATAGGTTAATTTTTAAGATGTTTTGCATGTAAGAATTATACTCTGCTCAAAAAAGAGGGCGGTATAACCACAATTTAGCTATAATGCTGTCTCTTACAGAGTACGCTAATTTACTGCTTTGTGAGTTTAGTTTTTCTTCTGCCACAACACTGACATCTTTCTCCATTTTTAACAGAGTATACCTGAAATACCTCCTAAGCCTGGAGAACTGAAAACAGAACTGTTGGGTCTAAAAGCAAGATCAAGCAAAGTTCAAACTTCACAACAGTGAGCAGAATTTACTTACGTTGTGAAAACTAGAACTGACAAAATATTTGTTCAACTGTCTCAACTGCAGAAATCCACATGTGAAATACTGGACTCCCTTAATGCTTTTTTTTGTTTCCTTTAAGCAGCGTTACAGGCGGCATTAAAAATAAATGTACGATGAATACTGTTGTTGAAAGTCCAATCAGTTGCGCGCCAAAATGTTTATGATTTCTTAATCTCGACTGCAGTGTAAGTATCCTTCAGGATAAAAGATGTAAACTCAGATTGGCGAGTCTGATGGAATTTGAAACTTTTAAGCTGATTAACAAGCATAGGAAGTTTAGCATATTGAAAAGTCAAGCTTTTGTGGCCACTCATTAGCCTTAATAAGCTCACCTCTTCACCTGTAGTAGAACCCCACTTACCCGTTGGCATTTCTCCCCTTTTTAAACTTTAACTCGGTATTACTGGACGTAACCCAGAACGTGATACAGTAAGTGATGGCACGTACAAGTAAGGAAGATTCCTTACTGCAGCACTTCTTGCACTGGACTCCTCCTCATGCTGGCTGGCTGCTGTAACAGCAGTTACATTGGCTTTCTGTCTGCATTACTGAGAGAAGTCTACTTTGGTCCACCGTAAGGCTGGGGAGGATCTTACAACTTAGTTGTATTAGCTAAAAATGGGGCAAATACATACAGGTTACACTGAAATTATGTATGTTTGTACTCCATTTGGGCATCTTCTTCTGTTTACGGCTGGTTTTGATGGCTGTATATACAAAACTCTGAAATAACAAGTGCAGGTTTACCTTTCAGTCCCGAAATAGGATCGCCACAAAACTCTCACACCAGGAGATACACAAAGTCAACATCCTACAAAGATGGTATGACAATCCATTTCTGAATGGTATGCAGTAGAGCTTGTGAAGGTTGGGGATTGCTTTCCCTTGAGAAAGGTACCGAGACAAGGCACAGGCTTCATCCTCAATTCTCAGGTTTAACTTGGGAAAGAAAACCACAACCTGACAGATTACCCATTACGGAAACAAAAAAGCTCCCTAACTTCTACTGGCAAAGTACTTAGAGCTCTTGTAATAGCAGGGGGACCCAGAAATAATTACTGAAAGTGCTACTTTTGCATCTGTTCCAGCTGTGAAGTTATTTATGTTTGTGTAAGTTGGAGTGTTTTTCCAAGGAAGAAGGGTTCATGGTTCCTCTGCATGGGTACGTGCCTCTGCCCTCACAGTTTTGCAACTATTGGCTGATGTAGAAAAGCAGCTGAGGGGGGGATGAGATCCTCTCCTGTGCTTATGTGCCCACGTGGATGTCCAAGCTGCAGCCTGTACTTAGAGAGCCTGTGATCTAGTAATACTATCTCAGACACCTTTACCAATGACAGCAGTCATTGACAGAAGGGTCTCAAGTACATCTCAGGTGTTAAAGCCCAAATGAAATCAATCAATGAGAACATCTTACTAGGTCCAGTTCTGGTGAAACTACTTTTTCCCTTCACTATACCTAAACAAAGCCAAGACTGACAACCATCTCAGTCAGCATCTTAATCTCAGCATAAGATAAAGTTTACTGAAGAGACAAGGTGGGGCAGTTCAGCAGTATTTTGTTCCTGTTCTAACTAGGGCAGGAATAGCGGTTTTTCAGTTGTCCCTTTAAAGGGCCAGGATTCACCAACCCTTACCCTGTTACTCACAGTTTGTCAGAGTATCACCTCTATTACGTTGATTTCTGACACGAAAGATGCATTTCTCCCTATTTTCTAAAGGCTTTTCAGATCTAAAGGCTGCAGAGGGCAGTTACTACTACTTATTTAGATTGGATTTCTAAATGTATCCTGCTACTAATGGAAACTGAGCAACAGGGAGCATGTTTTACCCCAGCCTTTTCTAGCACTCGGGGAACCGTTCTCATTATTGCCCACCTAGGAACAGCAAAGCTGACTACACCAGGTTTTGACAGCAGAGGTGACACCCCCAGAACCAGTGTGACTGCAGCACTGAAAGAAATAGCCTCACTATGACTGGGAGACGCTTCTTCCACCATCAACACGACTTTACTTCAGAGATGACCCGCCCCCCAAAAAAGCAAGCTTGCAACCACATTTTGTGCTTATTAATAGCAAACACTTGTCACTCCAGGGTAGAGAAAGCAGCTGGACCACAGCTACATTGCACATGGTATCCTCAGCTGAGGAAGATGAAGCAGCACAAAGCATGACTCTCAAGTGTGCTCTTTATTATTTCCGAATCAGATACGTCATCCTAAAACCAATCAAGGCATTGAGAACTTCAGCTACGTAACAGAGCAAAGGTTGCTTTAAGTCTACAAGTAAGTAACAGATTAAGAAAACTGTAGCAAGCAACCTACACTTCCAATACGCCTCTTCGGTTTGTTAGCTGCAGAAGCACCCTTAACTATACAGCAGGCCTGAGCCACGTTCGCGACTCAGGCTGGTCAGATATAGAGGGGTGCATATTGATGATATACTCAGAAGTGTATCACTAGAAGTGGTATTTTAGGAAGTATTAAATCAAAACCTCAGCAGCAGTTGATTGCTACAGAGCACAAAAGTTGCACTGCCACAGTAAGAGGACCATGCCTTAAGAAGAAATGGTGCACCTGCCCCATTCAATAGCTTACTAACAAAGGACTGCTATTAAAGCTGATAATTGCTGGCTGCTGAACTACACTCTAGGGTTAGACCACTCAGCATGCTCTAATGACGAAACGCTCTTATGGTGCATCCAAGATACTACTACAGTGAGCAAAAAACAAAACAACCCCAAACTCCCTCAAAAAAACCCAAGACTAAGCTCCCATTCCTTGAAGCATCAAACAGCATACTTCAATAAAGCCAACATCTCTGTATAAAACCTAAGTCAGTAACCACACTGATACAGGGCATTTGTATTCATTGCATGGAAACAGTATTTGGGCAATATAGAAGCCTAGTAAAAGTAAATGGAAAGCAAGTTCTTCAGGTCAGTGTTTAGTGCCTTCACTTCACTTTCACATTAGAAAGTTTATTTCACTTCAGATCGCAAAACTAAAACTTCATGAAAGTTCTGTTCACGAAACACAAGAGTGGTTCTTAAGTAGAGTCACTGTATGGAAGTACTACTCCTGTGTACTTCTTCCAGAGGAAGGCAAAAAAACCCCCTTCAGTGTAAACACTTTCTACCAACACCGTGAAGATGTTTCGAAGTAGAGGCACTAGTGAAAAAATGTAGTGCTTTATCCAAACACCACATAAAGCTAATATTTACACAATTTAGTGTCAACAGATTTAGCTTGCATTAGATTAAGTATTTAGAGTGCTTTGCCATACTAAAGAGGCATAGAACAAGAGTGAAAGTTTAGGAACAACAGCATTAAGGAACAAGTGTAACACACAAGAGCTTCCACCTTTGAAAAAAAAAAAAAACAAGTGTAACACACAAGAGCTTCCACCTTTGGGAAAAAAAAAAAAAACACACAGAAAGCAGGACTGCGTAACTACAAAAGTTAAAGGTAAGGTTACCAAATACCATAGAGGATGGTATAAGCTCACAGGCAGCGAGCCACTTCTGGTTGTTGTTCACAACTTTAGTGAAAGGATTTTTTTTCCTTTTTGCTCATCTCAGCTGTAAAAGCTACCACTGCCTACTCTGTACAGTGGAGTCAAGTCAGATATAGTCCAGTGCAAGCTGGCAGAACTTCAGCTCCAATGCTATTTTTAAATACCCCATCTCATCTTTACGATGTCAGTAGATACATAACTCCTTGAATACTTATTTCAACTAGCAAGTTCACTACAGCTCTCATACCAGGTATATGTTGGCTAAACAGCACAGCAGGTGTGTTAACACAAAACCCAACCATAGGCATACACTAGACAGTCGTGGCTGCGCCAGTGGGAAAGGCATGAGTACTGCAGACTGCCTGTTGTACAAAGGACCTGAACACTGAAGACAATCTCTTTGTTTCTTTGTGCTAGCCCACAAGATGAGCTTACTACGTAAAATTTAGAGTTAGTGGTGTTTGGGAACGTTTTATTTTGTACATGACAAGATTTTACACCAAGTCAGTTAAATAATACAAATTTACATTCATGAGGAATGTTTTTAGAAAAGTGAACTTAAAAAAATTCCTCCTTTACCCTTAAACCCCATACCATCCCTCAACATTTTACAGTGGAAAAAAACCAAAACAATCTAATTCACATTCCCTCCTAACCCCCCAATGCAGGACGGTAGTTGAGTGCAGCTTACAGTTCATCTTTCACATCTGTGGATTCCTGTGGAGACAAACAGAATCATAATGTTACTTTTTGAAAGTAGAAAAGGTTACAAGAACTGTCCCAGAAGAACTGAACCTAAGTATCCATCAAGACATCATTAAAACTGCAGACATTAGCTAAGTGAAGGCTGACTTCACGTAACAGTTGAACTGTTTAGAGGTAGTGGTGTTGTCTGTAGCATTGTTACAAGTCTGTATTGTAACCATTTGAAACAACACTTGCCAATTTGTTGATGTTATGGCCCACAAGCTGTGGAAATCCAACAGATAACATTAAGTTGACTGCAGAGAATTTTCTGCTGTTTTCTTGCCATAGGGCAACTCTGTTACAATCTCTCAAGCTTAATTTAGCTCCAACTTCGAACATATCTAAGCATTTTCTTCTTACAATATAGTTTGATAAGGAATGAAGTGTCATTTGTGCTGCAGTTTTCCACCCTCCAAGAAAAGCTTGGAAAACCTCACACTAAAAACTAGTGTCATGAAAGGCAAAGTGAACAAGTTTGTTGCCAGGAAGCACCACAGACAAAACTGCACATAAATATTGGTAAGAAAAGAGTCAAACTTGAGACCTTACCTTCTGTGTTTCACTGTCTTCAGCATCAGCATCCACCTCCTCTTCATCTTGCTCTGCCTCCTCAGTTGCATCTTCAGGCTCTTCAAGTTCCTCCTCCACCTGTAGGAAGGTCACAAGCAATTTGCTTTATTTGCTTAGGATGTTTACTAGTTGTGAACTAGCTAAATACAAGCTATGAAAGTACCCACTATCAGTTCCTAACATTTGCCCCAAGCTACCTGCAGGAGAAAGCGAGTTCTGTTTAGCATTGACACACTATCATACCTCCTCCGGCAAGACACCCAGTGTAAGTTCTTGCACAGCATTATGAGAACCCAT